AGAAAGAAAGAAAGAAAGAAAGAAAGAAAGAAAGAAAGAAAGAAAGAAAGAAAGAAAGAAAGAGAGAAAGCTTTCCATGGTCCTAGAAAGGGGACACAGGAAAGAGACATTTGTGGCCTTTGGACACTGTTGCATGAAGAAATGTGTGGAGGACTGTGGTCATCTTATGACCGGGAGGGACCAAGACTGGGGACACAGCCTGCACAAAGTTGAGCAAGCAGATGGAATGAATTGAGCTCCTGGATTGAGATGTGAAGCTGCTGAATCAACTAACCCTGAAGCTTACATTGCCTGGAACTTCTTGTTACTTGTGTAATAAATTCAGTGATTGTTTAAACTAGAGGTCAGCAAACTACAAATCCTGCTCACCACTTGTTTTTAAAGGTAAAGTTTTATTGGATCCCTGGCATGTTCATTTGTTTACACATTGTTTATGGGTGCTTTCATGCAACAACACAGAGTAGTAAAGACAAGGGGCCACATGGCCTGCAGAAACTACAATGTTTACTATTTATTCCTTTAAAGGAAAAGTTTTCCAATCCCTTCGATCATTTTGAGTTAGGTCTCCTGTCATTTGCACCTTATAAGCATTCACACAATATTTGATCACTTTCATTCTGATGATGAGTGGTAACACTAAACTATACCTGCTAATAATGACTCTCTTAGTCCATTTGGGCTGCTATAGTAAAATACCATAAACTGTGTGGCTTATACATAGAATTTAATTTTCTTACTCTGCTGGAGGCTGAGCTGTCCAAGATCGAGGTGCTGGCGGATTCTGTCTCTGGTGAGAACCCATTTACCGGTTCATAGATGGCCATCTTTTCACTGTGTCCTCACATGACGGAAGGGGTGAACCAGCTCCCCTGGCCTCTTTCATAAGGGCATGAATCCCATTCATGAGCGCTCCACCTTCATTACCTAATCATCGCCAAATGCCTCAACTCCTAATGTCATCACCTTGGGGGTTAGGATTTCAACATATGAATTTGGTGAATGGGGGGACACAAACATTCACACCATAGCAATGACTATGCATGTTTTTAAGCAAAGCTTTATTGAAGCATATCATACATATATAAAAGTTTGAAAAATCATTACTGCACAGCTCAATGAATTTTCGGAGTGAATATGCTTGTGTGACATCACCAAACCCCAGAAACCCCTTATACCCACTTCAGTCACTACATTCCCCTCCCTAAAGACAACCACTCTTCAGACTTCTATGAGAATGATCTCCACTGACTAATTTTGTCTGTTTATGAACTTCATACAAATGGATTCATAAATGTATATCCTTCTGTGTCTGGCTTCTGTTGCTCAGCATTCTGTTTGTGAAATTCATATCTGTTGTGTGTAGCATTTATTCTCACTGTCATGTTCCATGGTATGAATATATCATGATTTATTTATCTATTCTACGGTTGATGGATGTTTGAGTTGTTTCCAGTTTTTGACTATTATGAATAGCGCTGATGTGAACAATTTAATGTTTTTGTGCACATATACACACCTTCCTGTTGGAGTGAAATTGTGGGTCATTCATACATGATTTTTACTGTGGTTCTAAAAGTGATTCAACGTCCAAAGGTATATAGTTTAACTGAATAGAAATGTGGACTTGTTCCCTCTTGACTTAAAAATCAAAGGTAGGGCCGGGCGTGGTGGCTCACGCCTGTAATCCCAGCATTTTGGGATGCCGAGGTGGGTGGATCACCTGAGATCAGGAGTTCAAGACCAGCCTGCCCAACATGGTGAAACCCCTCTCTAGTAAAAATACAAAAAATTAGCTAGGCGTGGTGGCCCACACCTGTAGTCCCAGCTACTTGGGAGGCTGAGGCAGGAGAATCTCTTGAACTCGGGAGATGGAGGTTGCAGTGAGCCAAGATTGAGCCACTATACTCCAGCCTGAGCAACAGAGTGAGACTCTGTCTCAAAAAAAAAATCGAGGTAAGGCCAGGCATGGTGGCTCATGCTTGTAATCTCAGCACTTTGAGAGGCCAAGGTTGAGGTCAGGAGTTCGAGACCAGCTTGACCAAGAGGGTGAAACTTCATCTTAACTAAAAATACAAAAATTAACCGGGCATGGTGGCGGGTGCCTGTAATTCCAGCTACTTGGAAGGCTAAGGCAGGAGAATTGCTTGAACTTTGGAGGCAGAGTTTGCAGTGAGCTGAGATTGTGCCACTGCATTCCAGCCTGGGCAGCAGAGCAAGGTTCTCTTAAAAAGAAAGAGAGAAAGAGAGAGAGAGAGAGAGAGAGAAAGTTAAGGTTAATTTAGCAGAGTATTGGGCTCAAAAGATCATATATAATCAGGTAGTGAATGAATTAACTGAAAAATTAAAACAATTGAAAACAAACCGATTTCCCCTCCAGAGCCTAAACTATTGCTGTAAGGAAGTTTCAAGCTGTCTGCTTAGAGAATGGTTTTTTAAGCAGCTGAATTCAAATCAGTATTTCTTTTGGAACGCTGGGAAGGCTCAGATGGATTTGAAATGTTGCTGAGTCACAAAGGCACATTTTCTGGGACACACTTCTTACTTTGAGGAAAAAGTGATGAAAAGTTATAGATGGATAGGGTGGCAGGGAGCCTTGGTGACTTAGAGTTCCAAAAAACAAGAAAAGCAGAATTGATATAGTGAAGTTCCAATGGCTTTCCTACTTAGCCACCCAATTGCACAGAAAAGCCACAGAACAATCAAGATTTCTTTAGCAAGTACTTTCTCCTGCTTCAGCCACCACTGACTGCTACTTCTGCCTCATTCCCCTCTTCACACAGTCACCAGACTTCAAGGGCCTGAAGACCGTTTATCCACTTTTTAATCAAGCACTCCACAAGGATTGCATGGATAACATATCTTCTTCAACATACAGGGAAGTGTAGATGATCCAAAGAACAAATTTGCAGAGGGGGATAAGGAGGCTGCTTATTAAGCATGCGCATCTGATTGGTGTTCTTTTTCCACTCATCAGTTGTTATCAAACCAGTAGAGAAGATTCAATCTGATAATTTTCAAGATGAGTCATCAGTAGCCACAGAGTTCTAGGGTCAAACTCAGGGCTTTGTGGCTTAAGTTGTTGTCCTCCCAGTAAGACAACATATTGAACTATTTTGGCCTATCTTTCCTCTCTGGACAACTGTAAGGTAAAAATTTATTTAAGAAAGAAAAGGAGAGAGAGAAAGAGAAGGTTAAAATGGCAAGTGTTCTCAGTAGGATCCTAAGAAATATTTTACCACTCACACTTTCCAGAGCAGAGCAGAACTTGTCTTCTAGCCCAGTTGTCTGCTCCAGGTGCAGTGTGGCCACATCTCGGGGTTGGGTCTTCAGCTTTCTTGAGAGACTTTAGTGTCTTCCTCGGCCACCAACGGCCAATGGCACAGGTGATACAAAGATGGCTGGCTACAAGGCAGTCCTTGTGTCTGCAGACCCTGCCACAGTCCCTCTCTAGGACAGATTAGGAAAATCTACAGAGTAAAGAAAGCACAGAAGGAGAGATGCTTCCCTCTGCGCCTTTATAACTGAATAATACCCAGGAGAATTGAGCAGAATATTCCAAGCTTTGAAAATGCAGATAGAACAGATATGTGAGACCACATTCTCTAAGGTGGTCCTGTCTGATTTTGAATATTCTCTTCCATCCTTAAATAACAAAGAAGATATCCTGACATTAATTTAGAATTTTGACAGAGATTTTTTGGGAGGCCAAGGCAGGAGGATCACTTGAGCTTAGGAGTTCAAGGCAAAGCCTGGGCACCATGGTGAAACCCTGTCTCTACAAAAAGTACAAAAATTATCCAGGAGTGGTGGCATGCACCCCTGTAGTCCCAGCTGAGAGGTGGGAAGATCCCTTGAGCCCAGAAGGTTGAGCAGACAGATTTTGACTAGTAGACTATGGGTACCTTTACTCACCTGTAGTCTTTGCATCGTTCGTCCACAATCATTTCTGTTTTACAAAGTAGTCTCCTATTTTAATTTTGACAACCTCATTTTCCCCCCTAGATGATTGAAAAAGAACCCTCCCCATCTTGTCCGTTTCCAGGAGCACTTACCTTGAAAGGTTTTTGTAGACATTTATGACACTCCTATGAGGTGGCTAAGGTCTGTTATCCCCATTTTATGGCTGAGGAAACTGAGATAGTGAGACGTTGAGTTCTTGCCGAAGGTCAGGCACTGAGTCAGGGGCAAATTCAGAGGCAGAACTCAGTGTTCCTGGCAGCCTCACCAAGTTCAGCTGCCTCGCCTCTGTTTGAACTGCCTTAAAATAGGACTTTCAAGAATTCTGATGAATAGATGGAAACCCTGCAGTGCTTTATGTGTTAATGGTGACTTGGTAACTGCATATATTAATGTTGTTCATTGGCTTACAGCCAAGAGCCACTCATTTCCTAGGTGCTCAGCCTGAGAGAGACTGTTTTCCTCATTTTTCACTGATTATCATAAAACACTTCCGGGTAACCATATGAGACTACGGTTCTTTCCAACACCAAAGTAAAATGCAAACTGTTGTCCTTTTGGCCTCTAAGTGCGGGAATCTCTCCTCTCCCTCTGTATACACTCCTCATGATGGCCTCCAGGCTAGGACCCTTTCCTCGCTTTCCAGTCTTGGAATCTACTCTCTAGCCTCCCCAGGTGCTTCTGAAATGGAATCCCTCACTGGTTCCAGGACATAGTGCTGACCCCTCTCCATCTCACCCACTCTTATTCATCAAAATCTCTTTTTATCTTCAAAGTTCATCTAAAGAAAACCTGCTAAGAAGCCACTCCCTATTTCCCCACCAAGCCTGGTCTCTCTTCCTTTGAAGCCCTTATCTGGCGCCATCTTCTTTCGCCTTTTGCTTACTAGGCTCTTGCCCCTTAGATGCAGATTGTAAATTGCTTAGGGGCAGGGATGGTTTTACTCACCTTTACTAGATGAGATGGCACACAGACTGTGCACAGTAGGGGAGCTGCTGACTACAGGAGTGGGCAAACTTTTTTTGCAAAGGATCGAGTAGGAAATATTTTAGGCTTTGCTAGCCACAAACGGTCTCTGCCGATTCTTCTTCCTTTTCTACAACCCTTTAAAAATGTAAAAAACTCATTCTTAACTCCCAGGTCAGCTGGGGCCTGGATTTCTCATACTGTGAAAGATCAATTGCAGCACATAGCCCTAACACATTTTGGGGCCCAAGTACATTTTTGTACTTAAAAAAGTCTCTGAAATTACATACTGTGGTATCTGTATTTATTTTGTTTAAAACTCCAATCAATTAAAACATGGATGGAACCCAGCATTTATAAAGGTGAAAGTAGGAACTTGCAAAATCCATGCACACATCTTTGTGCATCATTAAAGGGCCAAATTCTTTCAGCTTTACATAGATTCTTCCATGGCTGATGAGGTCTCATGGCTTTTCAGGAAGTGGGATAATAAAACTAGTTCTGCCACACTGATGGGATTTTTTTTAAGGTGTCCCAAAATGTTTCATTTGTCTCATCAATGACTGCTGTGAGACAGGATCTTGAACAAGATAATACTTGATTTTATTTTATTTTATTATTTGAGACAGGGTCTGGCTCTGTCACCCAGGCTGGAGTGCAGTGGCAGCACCATGGCTCACCGTAGCTCAACTTTCTGGGCTCAAGGGATCTTCCCGCCTCTCAGCTGGGACTACAGGGGTGCATGCCACCACTCCTGGATCATTTTTGTATTTTTTTGTAGAGACAGGGTTTCATCACGATGCCCAGGCTTTGTCTTGAACTTGTAGGCTCAAGTGATCCTCCTGCCTTGGCCTCCCAAAGTTCTGGTATAACAGGCATGAGCCACCATGCCCAGCCACACGTTAACATTTTTAATGCCTGAAACTCTAGAAAGAAGGAGAAAGTAATGGTCCCTTTAAAGTCTCACTGACCTGGGTTACCATCGGTGCCCTCACAATGCCATCCATATCACCTCCCTAACTCCAGGAATACTGCAAAGTAATGTTCAGTCATTTCGCGGTGGCTCACGCCTATAATCCCAGCACTCTGGGAGGCGGGCAGATCACAAGGTCAGGAGATCAAGACCATCCTGGCCAACATGGTGAAACCCCATCTCTACTGTAAATACGAAAACTAGCTGGGCATGGTGGCACTATGCCTGTAATCCCAGCTACTTGGGAGGTTGAGGCAGGAGAATCGCTTGAACCAGGGAGTTGGAGGTTGAAGTGAGCCAAGATGGTGCCACTGCACTCCAGCCTGGTGACAGAGCAAGACTCCATCTCAAAAAAAAAAAAAAAAAATTTAGTCATTTCCTGCATCATGACATCATAGCCTTCCCCTATTAACTTATCTAACTGAGTTACAGTTCAAACCGCTGGTTCCATATCAGGAGCTGTTAGGTTTAACATCTCTTCAGCAAAGGTACCATGGGAGCTTTTCAGAAAACTTCAGGTTAATATTCCAACCTATTTTCCTGAGGAGATCCAGCTATGAATAATAGTGCTGACTCGGTATCGTTGATCATTTGCCAGAATGTGCGATTTGTAAAACTTTGGCAGGGAAAATTGTATTACAGATGTTACATCGGAAAACCTCTGAACTGCCGTGAAATATAATTGTGTGTTGGAGGGCACGTCATGTCGTTAGCAGGCTGAGTTTACTCTGTTTGGGTGAGCAGTGCACATACACTACAATGGGTAGCTGCTCTGTTTATATGAACGTCAGATCGACAGAATAATAATCCAACCCTCGAAGACAGCTATAATTACAGCATGTTGACTCCGTCCCCTTGACAGGGAAGCTGCAATGTTTCAAATAGAAAGCTCCATTAGCTAGGTGACCAATTAAGGAAGCAGAAAACAGCGAGAAGGAAGGTATAAAAATATCTTGTTAAAATTCTCTTCAAAAATAGAGATATTTAACACATAACAAGAATATATAGTCTAAAGCAGTAGAGAATTTTATTTAAAAATAACCTTGTCCCGTAAAAGTAAAGCTGATCTACGATAAACTGGTAAAATATCTGTATCCCATTTAGAGACAATGGACCAGGCTGAGCAACCTAGTGAGATCCTGTCTCTACAACAAATTAAAAAGAAAAAATAGCCAGATGTGGTGGCCCGGGCTTGTGGTTCCAGCTACTTGGAACTCTGAGGTGGGAGGATCTCTTGAGCCCAGGCTATGATCGGGCCACTGCACTCCAGCCTGGGTGACAGAGTGAGACCCTGTCTTAAAAACAGAGAGAGAGAGAATGGGCTTTCATGAGAGAAATAGCTAGCTATAATTTTTTTTAAAAAAATAATGTGATATTTACTTATATTTAGAAAATGTCATTTCCTACATCTAAAATGGTTTTTGAAAATGGAAAAGCAACAAACTGAAATTGTATTGGATTAATTATATCAATACTTTCTAAACTTCCAACAGCTCTGGTTAATCACTATTTCCTATTCTGTTGTTTTTTACTCTATGGTTGTTTCACATTTTGGAAGTAAGTGAGAAGAAACGGTAGAAATAGACTGTCTGCTTTGGTTTTGAATCCTTTGCCTGGGTGTATCTGGATTCAAGGTCTACTAGGCTGAATCATATGAAATTGCTGCTTATTTAGTTAAAATGACATCAAATATTGGCAATTTCTTAAGTGGTCGCTGGCTACCACTTCAATGTTTTTTCTGGTGTCCCTGTGATAAAGTCTTTGGTCCTCGTCAATTGGCCATGGGTAAATGGGACAATTACAGGATAAAAACTTTATTCTTGGATAATAGGGTAATAGGCAATAATAATAAATAACAGATAGAAAATAGATAATAATAGATAATTGATATACAGATATTGGCTAGGTAATAGGTAGGCAGATAATAATAATAGTATTGATAGAATTTCTGCTCCAAGGTTTGTATGTCCACAGAAGAGTATTCTCTTCCTTCCAGTCTTTTGAAAACAACAGTAGACACTTTCTCACTATGTTGTCCAGTCTGGCCTCACATTTCTGGGCTCAAGCAATTCTCCTACCTTAGCCTCCTGAGTAGCTGGTACTATAAGGGTGCATCCCCACACCCACCAGCCAGCAAGCATTCTTTTAACCTACAGCAGGTAAGAAGTTTACACGCCCTTCATTTCATTCTTTCATTTGCTGATCATCATGATAATAATAGTTAACATTTCTAGTGATCTCTTAGTATCCATGGGGATTGGTTCCAGGACCCCCTCATGGATACCAAAATCCAAGATATTAAAGTTCCTTTTATAAAATGGCATAGTGTTTGCATATAAACCTATGCACATCTTCCCATATACTTTAAATCATCTCTAAATTATAAGTAATCTTATAATACCTATTACAATGTAAATAGGGTTATATTGCATTGTTTTTTATTTGTATTTTTTTGAATGTTTTCTACTAGAGGTTGGATGAGTCCTTGGATGAAGACTTGGGGATATGGAGAGCTGACTCTCCAGTACTTACTAAGTTCCTGGGTGTATAATAAATTCTTTACCTGTTATTATTTCCTCCTCAAAATGACTCTCTGAGATAAGTATTAGTATTATAATCTCTGTTTTACAGATGAAACTTTTGGGAGAGCAAGACAGCTACAAAACCTATTTTTCATTCTACAATGTATTTGATTAAATGGAGGGAAGACAGGAGAGATGGAGAAAAATTTTGGCCAGTCAACCTTCAGATCCTTACGTCAAATGTAGCCTTGGTGTCAGAATCTGGAAATTCCTATTGAAGTGGTTTGGTGGCAAATTGTACTTCTGATCCTTGAATTTGAACTTTAAAATCCACCTTTGGGTGTGACGATATGATTCCAGGACTTAATTAACCTCTTAATATGTCATTATCTTTATCTGTAAAACAATATAAAATTATCTACTTCACAGAGTCACTGAGGTTTCCACTGATATTTTACATCCTCAGATGAAGACATACAAAATAATATAACCTATTCCAAAACTGGAAGGAATCACTCTTTGGTTTTTGTGTTTTCATAATAATTGCTATTTCTCATTAGTAAGTTTGTGGCAACAGATGGACAAGAAAAAATTAGAACCCGTAGAAAATATTTTGATAGATATCAGTTTTATAGATTTATAGTTTATTTTCCTAAGCTGTACTGTTCAACAAAAATAATACAAATCTTTTGACTAGGAGATGCATTTTTAAAGGCATATAGACTCCTAGTAATTTATATCCTCCATACAGCTTATATTTTCTATATCACGAAGAATAGGAAAGAAAAACAGACGGAATTATCATCATTCCCCAAAAAGAGCATATGCTTATGGGAACCTTGCTCTGAAACCTAAGCAGCCACATGAAAATGATTTAGCTTCCTGAAGATTGCACAAGAGTCAACAGCACAACTAGACAATATTGTTTTAATTCTCCACGTTGCAGAATTATCTAAAGAAAAGAAAGCTGATTTTTTAAATGATAGCTGAAGATACTTTGAAGACAGCTGAATCCGGGTTGGCAAGGCAAAAAGTCAAACAGCACATCAAAACAAGAGAAGAAAACTGTGACTAAAATAAAAGTGATGATATGTTCATCTAATTTAAACATTCAACTCTGTATAAATGAATTAAAAAATTTTCTTTGAAAAGCTCTCACCAGTTGTGAGATAGACCAAATAATTTAACACAAGCAATCTGTAGAGGTTGAATTAAGGTCCTGTTTTAAAAACATTATTAGTAAGCAGATGGTGACTATAAAAATTATCACAAAGCAATGATTATACACACTGCCGAATCAAGCTGCCCGCTGGTCCTGCCCATTCTTTGACTATTTCATGTATGTCAAGCTCACTACCCCCTGCACACCTATTGTCCTGGCATTTCACAGTTTCTTCTTTCAACAAGGACAGAAGTTGTTTATGTGACACGGCTGTCAAAGAAGAACATGTGAAGAGGAAAGAAAGTCCAGGTGAGGCCTGGGTATGGTGGCTCACACCTGTAATCCCGGCACTTTGGAAGGTCGAGGCAGGAGAATTGCTTGTGCCCAGGAATTCAAGACCAGCCTGAGCAACATAGTGGGACTTCATCTCTATAAAAAATTTAAAAAAAAATTATCCCGGCGTGGTGGTGCACACCTGTAGTCCCAGCTACTTGGGACTGAGGTAGTAGGATAGCTTGAGTGTGGGAGGTGGATGCTGCAGTAAGTCGAGATCTCGCCACAGCACTCCAGGCTGGGTGACAGAGCAAGACTTTGTTTCAAAGAAAGAAAGAGAGAAAGAGAGAAAGAAAGAGAGAGAGAGAGAGAAAGAAAGAGAAAGAGAGAAAGAGAGAAAGAAAGAGAGAGAGAGAGAGAGAGAGAGAGAAAAGGAAGGAAAGGAAGGAAAGGAAGAAGGAAAGGAAGAAGGAAAGGAAGGAAGAAAATGTCTATGTGGGAACACAAGCTAAGGACCCAGTCTTCAAATTCCAGGACCTCTTGGATCATCCACACACACAACCTTACTCTCATTCACAGAAGTACTTTTCACGAAAACATTATGTTACAATGATTTAAATACCCTTCTCCAAATTAGTTAACTTGCTTTTCTTTAGATTAGCTAGTTTAAAGAGAACATAATCGATTAGTGAAAAAAACAACTTGACTAATGAGTGAGCTCTGGGAATAGGTTTCTGGGTACCCAAGAAGCATTAATTCATACAAATAAGTCAGAACAATGACTCCAGCTGGGAAAAGAACAGAGTCAGAACAAGCAGTTGCCTAGGGCAATACATTACCAAGGCAGCCGACTCTGCAAGTGGTTTCTGTAGAGCAAATGCAGCCTTTGAATTTAGATATTAACCACTTTGCTTGGGGTAGGTGAATCTGTAGATGAATTACTCACCCCAGAAGTTAAGCAGCCACTCTCCTGAGCTCACTGGATGGATGACGGATGGATGTTTTAAAAGTGAATATTCAGAGTTAAGGGTGCAAATGAAAGCATTCACTATATGGCTGCATACACTGCTCTGGCTATAAGTCAAGCTTGCTTTCCACCCCTTCCCTCTAGTCCAGCATAGGCTGCTGACTATAAGCCAAACGCCAATCACCAGGTAGCAATGACTGGTCTTTGCACTGGCTGTGAGGAGGCTCAGTCTTTTTTAATCCTCCACTGCTTGCAAGTGAATTGGGCTACAGGGTATGTATGTATATGTATACACACACACATATTGAAATATGCATATACATATATCTATCTAGCAAACCATCGTATTTTCTTTTTTATTTATTTTTTGAGACAGGGTCTCCCTCTGTCTCCCAGGCTGCTGTGCAGTGGTGTGACTATAGTTCACTGCAACCGTGGCCTCATGGGCTCAAGCCATCCTCCCATTTCAGTCTCTTGAGTAGCTGGGACTACATGCACATGCTACCATGCCCAACTAATTTTAATTTGTTGTTTGTTCTAGAGACAAGGTCTCACTATGTTGTCCAGGCTGGTCTCAAACTCCTGGCCTCAAATAATTCTCCCGCCTCAGCCTCCCAAAGTGCTGGGATTACAGGCGTGATCCACTGCACCCAGCCTATATTTTCTTAGCCATATTTTTTTTCTTTCCTCAAACTCATTTCAGTTTATTTTATTCTTAAGCAGAGCCTATATTTGTATAAGCTGCTTCAAATCCCTCTGTGGAAAGCCGCAAACAGACAAATACATAAAGTATAGAAAGAATGTTAATATGATAGACCGTGAGATCTCAGAGTCCTTTTTAGTGAAGCAGAGATGTCACTTGTTTAAAATGTTAACCCTGGAGACTCTAAGTGTAAACAAATCCCTCAAGTATTCAAGTTGCAGGGCTCTCAAATTCAGGGTAAAAGAGAATTTATAAAAGCTCTAAAGAACAGGATAATTTATTGAATGACTATAATATTAATGCAAGTTCACAAGGAATAGTTCCATTTCCTTTGTTAAAATTCCTGTTTGTTCTTTGAGAATTTTTTTTTTCATTAGCCAGAAAGCAAAATAGCACTGGAAACTGTTTTTGAAATGGACGTCATTGGGCTAGATTGTTCACAGCAATCTCTCTTGACATTGTATATAATGTGTTATTACATTTGGGGCATCACTGAAAAAAAGGGAATAGAATCCAACATTCACATATAGCTTTGTAAGGCAGCTATTGAATAGATCTAGCAAATCTTGTGGCTGTTTTGAATGTAATTATGAATCTCTGTTCTGGAGGTTGTCACTCCTCATTCTTAGGAAGGGGTAGTTCTACCTGTCACGAAGAGACTGGGCGACCTAAGGAAATCCATCAGTAGCTTGGGGCTCCTTTGTCTTTAAACTGAGGGGCCTGAAGTTAGATCGTAGGGCTGTAGAATTCACCTACTACTTTCACAATCATTAGCTCTTTTGATCTTCACAGCAACCCTGAAGGGAGGCAGGGCATTTGTTATTTAATTCACAAAGAAATGAAGGCTCTGAGATAAAACAACGTGTTTGAGATCTTAGAGCAATTAAAATAGAACACCTGAGACAGAATCCAGTTCTTGGAGATCTGTTTTATTGCTGTTTTAGCATTGTGATTCAATTGGAATTTCCTACCTCACTTAATATGTAGAAGAAGAAAGAGAGAAAAACAGTGCCAGTGTTGGGGTGGACACCAGGTGGAATTGGTTTGACTCCTTATGGACTGACTTTTGATCTTGTAAAGAATGTACAGAGTCTAACTTTAGCAACAGCCAGCTAATTAACAGCTGGAGACAGGTCACAAGTTTGAGGTGAGCATGGGTTGAACCGGCCCTGCCTTGCTTTTGGTGGGGCGCTTAGCAACAGTGCTACCCCAGGTGGTTCCACACTGTAGCATATGCTCAACCTTTTAGTAAAGGCCACGGTCTTATTTAAAAACAAAAACATCCAAAATTTCTATTATGAGCCTCCCAAATCCCCGTTAAATAAAAATGCAGTCTTTTCCTCACTCTTCTTCCTATGCTGACATTTAGAAATACCATTTTCCTATTTCATTTTATATCTTCAGAGAGGAAACTATGTTATGCAGCAGACAGAACCCCATTTGGAATTCAAGAAAGCTGGGTCCTCAGCCTTGCTTGACTTAGCTGTGTGATTTTCAGCAAGTTACTTAACCTCTCAGAACCTATTTCTGTACAGGAAATCTAGGGGTTTTCCTATCTAAGCTCTGAGATCTTGTCTCACTCTCAAATTCTATGATTCATTTCCAACTTAGGTTTCTCTTATTTAATGTTTGCTATTTGTTTTGTTAGATATTAATTCATATTTGTGGGCCTAGTTTAACTTTCAATTTATAATATTTTTATTATTTGCATTCTATTACTCCTAGGTTCAGGATCTCATGCCCGTTAGACCTTGCTTTGTTTTCCTGGGTAATCTTTCTATTAAGTATCATCTTCTGACAAGCATTGCAGGTACCAGTGTGCTTACCACTTGCATCAGTTAGAACGAGAAAAGCCAATTCAAACCGCCTAAATGAGAAAAAAGATCTCCTGACTCATAGAACTAAGAGGTAAGGAGTAGTGCAGGTTCAAGCAAAGTTGGATCAGAGTTCTTGATCTATTTCTCTGTGATTTTGTTGACTCTACTGATTTGTGTTTACGATGTTTATGCCGAGACAAACAGCAAGAGGATGCAATGGTTCAGGGCCTCCTATCCCTGCCCAATAGGTACTATAAGAAGAATACTCTACTGTCTATTCTCTATTTTTGTAGCCAAGAAACTTTCCCTGGAATCCTCAGAAAACTCCCTTTTATCTCCTTGGCCTAAACGGAGTCCCACACCATTCCTGAACCAGCCACTGTGGCCTAAGGAATGCCATGCCAGGCTTGAGCCTGGGTATCTGAACCAATCACCGGCAGGGAGTAGGGCTACCTTGACAAGTTTACACCAGTCAGTGCTACCCATGGAACTGATGTCCAACCCCACAACTACAGAGTGGCTTCATCATGGTGGAGGAGAGGGTGTTGGAGAGGCAACCTTATTCCATTATATCTTGCCCATCTAGTTCTAAGAATGGGGGCAAAAATTGCATTTTCAGATCTTCTGCATGCCAGGCACCCAGCTAATGTTTGTTACATTGAATGGAATGGAATGGAATTTTAGGTAGTGGTGAAGACATAAAACCAAAACAGAAAATAACACGCAGTTCTCTCTACCTCTTCCTCTCAATTCTATTCTTGCCATGGCTGCTGTTCATGCTCCCTAACTTTCCCCACTATTTATATGTTACCCCTCTTATTTTTAGCCATAAGTTTTACTTAGTCTGAAGATAACCAAATATTTCCTGAATAATAAGTCTCTGAATATGCATATTCTCTAAATATGAATATAAGCCTATTTGCAAATCTAGCACTTACATTTAGAATGTTGTTGGCAGGACTCTGAAAATCAACTTTTTTTTTAATGGAAAAATGTACTACAGCAGAAGGATTTGTTTTCCACAAAGCAGAACCAACTTTTTTGATTTCAATGATTTTTTGATACTTCCATATATGTTTATATGCTCATTAAATAAATAAATATTAAGTCAGACCTTCCTGATTAGAGAATTGTCTGCCACTAAAAATTGAACTTAGGACTTATAGGTCTCTCTCATTAAAGAGAAGGGGCTGTAGGAGGGCTGGGACTCCTGGATTTATTCAGCCCCTCTCTCTCCCATTCTAGCTCCCAGTGTGGTCCCCTTCCCTGAGAAAGTACACGAGGCCCTGGGGCCTGGCAGTAGGTGATATTCATAAGCAACAAGAAACGGGAAGCCATCTATATGGGTTTAGTAGTGCCCCTCTTCCAAAACAAGACCACAGCAACTGGCTGATCAGGGCTGCCCCTCAGGAAATGCTGGACCCAGGGCCACCCAACTCAACAACATGTTCAGTCCTTTAGGAGCTTTTACTGAGCACACCATCTGCGTCAAGTTCCGTGTTCTATGATATAGACCCTGCCCTTGAGGAGAGGTAGACAAGGAAACAGGCAATTACAATCTAGCAGTGAAGTCCCTTGAAGAAGTAAACCCAGAGGGCTACCAAGATAGAGAATAAGGGCCTGTGGGAGGGCTGCTCCATGGCCTAACTCCAGGAGTGGTCAGGATTCACTCGAAACACAATGCCAATGATGTCCCCTGCAGCTGTGCAATGTGGCAGCCCTGACCCCTGCCCCATCTTAGCATGGTCAAAGAGGGTTTCCCAGAAGAAGTGATATCCAAGCTGAGGTTTGAAAGAAGGAAGGGGAGAGCATCTGGCACTCTATACCAGGCTTGGGAGGGGGAGTGCACATATACAGTGTAAGCATGGCACAACCCTTAAAGAGGAATATAGACAGCACATCCTCAGGTGAGTGCATGCAAAAGGAGCACTCCTTCTTTTACTGCAGGGTGAGATGAAGGATGTGATTATGTTCAGATACATATGGGCCTTACATCTTTTTGAATACCAGCTGATACTTTATCAACAGTTGTCTTCCTGAGTTCTTGCATATCTGCTAATATTGGAGCGTTTAAGGAGATAGCAGAGTCCAAACTCAGGGCATGTCTTGAGGTGTCTTAAGACAGATTATCACTGTGAACAAAACAGGAATAATTAATGATATTAAATAGTTCATCTTTCCCTGCCTTTATAAAGTCTCACCAAGCTTGCGTTTGGCAGCCTGAATTACCTGTAAGATTACAAAAGAAATGAATTCGTAAATACCAAAATAATTCTGTTTGCCACACGTGTGAATGTTAAGAAATTCACTGTCATAATTCAAGAATCTAACTCAGCACAGGTTTTAATAGAAGCACGTGGATCTAAGCAAAATCAAATAAATGGACCAATGTTCAGTATACAGTGATGGATGTCTTGAATAACCTGAGTTGACAGATATGAAATGAGACCATAAAAACGTTGACTTTTTAAAAATGCATTGTTTACATCATTTCTTGAAGCCAAACACTGTAATGCCATTAACACTATTAGAAAATCTGGAATCAGATTAAACTTGATCACTGGTTATTATCACTTTTGTGACAT